GAACATAATGAATGAAGTATTCAATTGTATTAGTCATTTCTCTATTGTTTATATAGATGATATTCTCATCTTCTCCAGAACAATAGAAGAACACTGGAAGCACCTTTATGCTTTCCAGACAATTGTTAAACAAAATGGTTTAGTACTATCTGCATCTAAGGTTAAGTTATTCCAAACCTCAGTAAGGTTTTTAGGATACAATATCCAGGATTCTACTTTCACTCCTATAAGTAGAGCCATCCAATTTGCAGATAAATTCCCAGATGAAATTCTGGATAAAACCCAGCTTCAAAGGTTTTTAGGTTCCCTAAACTATGTTTCTGACTTTTATCAGGATCTTAGGCAAACCATCAAACCTCTGTATGACAGGCTCAAAGGAAATCCTCCTCCTTGGACCACTGTCCATACTTCTATTATTCAGCAGGTCAAGAAGTTCATCAAAACTCTTCCCTGTCTTGGTATTCCGTCCGTTGATTCTTTCAAAATCATCCAGACAGATGCCTCCGATATTGGTTATGGTGGAATCCTCCTTCAGAGAGAATCTCCTAATTCTCCTGAACAAATTGTTCGATTCCATTCTGGTATTTGGAATAAGACCCAAAAGAATTATTCCACTATTAAAAAAGAGATTTTATCTATTGTCCTGTGTATCTCTAAATTCCAGGATGATATATTGAATCAGAAGTTCCTTGTGCGGGTTGACTGTAAATCAGCCAAGGATGTATTAACCAAGGATGTCAAAAATATAGCTGCTAAGCAAATTTTTGCTCGTTGGCAATCTATTTTAAGTATTTTCGATTTTGATATAGAATATATCAAAGGAGAACATAATTATATTCCTGATTTCCTAACCAGAGAATTTTTGCAGGAACCTCATGGCGGACAGGAACCCTAGTACATCCGGAACCTCCTCCAAAAATTCCAGGGGGAAGGGAAAGGATAAGATAATACCAAAATCTGAACCTGACTTACCATTAGTTTTGTCAAACAGATTTCTATTACCAACTACTCAGCCCACAAGGCCAGTAGCCCAAGCCCAACTTAAATTGAGTCAGATAATGGCCAATGAAATAGCCAGAATAGACTCAGCTAGTACCCAGTCGGCCCTGGTTACCCGACCAGTAGCTATATCAACCACTGTTAACCCAAAAACCTTTACCCAAATGGCCCAACAACAACCTGTCAGGACCACTAGTGCCATGACAAACCCTTATCAGGCCGCACAACCTTTTGTAGCCCCACTAGGCCCAAAGGTTGACTATGTCAAAGCCCATTCTGAGAATGTCCTAGCTATTGAACTAGCCCATTCCAAATACAAGGATCCAATAGACCTTGTACAGGCCTACCTCCCAACAGGTTGGACCTATATCCCAGTAGACTTGGAAAAACCCCATAGTTTTTACCAAGATATTCTCTACTATACCAAATCCATATTTACCAAGCCCATTTATGATAAGATAAACCCAGCTAAGGTTATCTATCATAGCTTGTATATTACCAAAATTATTTCTATTGATGAATGGGGTTCTCACCCTTCTTTACTCAGAGAACTTCCCTATCACAGTAGACAGTTTAATTACTATGACTACATTGAGTCATGGTCCAAAATATTACTCTACCAGAATGAGGATTTGTCCCATTCCTGGTTCCTTAATTTTCATAAAGATTTCAGAAGCCATATTCCTGCATGGTTTGCACAGTGGTGGCATCTACACGGCCCCATTGATGAAATCTTTCCAGCTGATCTTAAAGATCAGATTAATATCTTTTACTCCCTTTACCGTCCTAGTAAACAGGAGTCCCCATTACCTTTATTACTAATATTTTTATGCAGGTACAAAGTCCCGTGGATACTCAAATGGCATTGGGAAATTGTTGGATTCAACCTAACCCGACAATACTATGCCAAATGGTGGCCCAGGTTTCAGCACAGCGACACTATCGCAATGGTGAGACGAGACTTCCCAGTAAGGGTACCAACTCCAATAGTAGTTCCAGGCCCCTTACCACCAGCAACTCCGATGAAGGAACTGCCCGCTCATTCAAGCCAGGCTAACCTTCCTACAAAGCAAGTCCAACCAGAAGAATCTTCATCCAAAGGTTCTCTGAAAAAGTCTAGCAAGAAGAAGTCCAAGGCAAAGCTCCTCCAGAAGCTCCTTGAACAGCTTGACTCAGATAGTGATGCATCTTCTCAAAGTTCCTCCTCAGAACTCCCAGCAGGATATGCTCAGGATCCTTTTGAAGGAATAGAGGACTTTGATGTCGATGACCTCACACCTGACCTTGCACTCCCGTGAATTATTATTTACATAAAGTGGCTTCAATCACTACTTTCTTCAATAAAAAAAGAAAAGCTGACCACTCTGTGTAAAGATAATATCACCAGTTTGCATAGGATCCCCTTTCTCCTAAAAGCAGGACCCACAGATTTGCTTTTCCACCGAAAGTAAGATGCCTCTGACAAGTAGGGCCCTCTAGTCCCTTCAGGTTGACTACTTTCCACCGAAAGCAGAGATTCTTCAGACAGCTAGGACCCCTAGTCCACTCTGCCTGTCCTTTTACCCAAGTAAAAGAATCTTATCTTACTTTTCAGCCAAAAGAAGTCGAAAGTAATGACAGAGACTTTTAAACAAATTGAAGACTCAGTTGAAGTCCGGAAGCCCCTTACCTCTATATAAGGCAGCCTCCTCTACTCCAAAACTCAAGTCTTCAGAGAGACAAAAATACAAGCCCTTTAGTTCTTGTAATCCTACCCTCTCTGTAAAAGGCCTTCTTCACTTATAAAGAAGAGCTGACTCCAATCCTGTAGCATACACATTTATGTCTGCTGCAACTATCACCGCTTATTTCCACTAGACCTTTAGTTCTAGTGTTGTAAGTGTTTATTTTCTTTAATCGAATATTTTGTATTTTTCATATCTGTTCCATATTCTTCTTTGTTCCTCTAAATTCCGCATGTATATATATATATATATATATATATATATATATATATATATATATATATATATATATATATATATATATATATAGTCTTATCGTTATCTTATATATCTCCATATACGTGTGAATTAAGTATAATTAGCAGTTGACTTCAATATGACCATTTGGTAAATAGTCATATTATTTGGTAATGACCTTTTTTGTTTGCATTAAAAAAAATTGACACTAAATTTTTTTTACAAGATTTTTTTGTGGGCATTTTAGATTTTAATAGAGTTTAGATTTGTGATCTATATTATTTTATTAACATATATGAAATATATGATTATTTTTTAGAAAATTTAAAGTTATTAATCTCTTTATGCTCATTCTTTTAGATGGGGCTCTATTTGTAGTTCCGCTGTAAAAGGGACAAATTGTGTGTCGCCAAGTTAACCTTAATGCGGTTGGTGATGCTCTTGCCCCTTTGGAGAAGAATCAAGGAGGGGGCATGAGCTTGCCATATCAGTTGTCCCATAAACTTTTGTAATGTTGCATTGTCTTGTAGACAAGGATCATGTACTCCATAGATGGATGTGTGCTTGCCCCCTGAACTTTTTGTTCTCGGGCCGCTCTGAGGGCAAGGTGATTATTGCTCAAGGGAGGATGTGATCTTGCCATGTTAGGTTGCCACCTCTCCCTCGGAATGCCACGTGTTCGTTGGTGAAAAGTCCATGTGTCCAGATTTTATGGGTTACTGCACAGGTGAATCAAAAATTTTCTAAAATGCAACCTTTGAAATCAAAAATACAAATAAAATGCAAATGAGTGGATGGCCACGGGCTCTTTGAAAGAGTAAGCGGACGAGTCAAGAGTGAGCGGACCACTCACCTCATTTTGGGAGGAATAACATTATTCAAATTTAATTTTTACATAATTTGTTATATCTAATTCATTAATTTTGTTAGACTACCTCTGAGTACTAATTAACAAGTCCAAATTTACATTAGGTTTAGACCCAGTTTATAGGTTGAGTTCAAATCATCAAAAAGTAAGTCAAGCTTAGCTCATGAGTTCAGGCCAATCCAGAAGTCTAAGAGACCCAAGAGGATTAGTGCACGTGGAAAATAATTACTGGGATAATCACTATTCGGAATTCGAGACTATCTTTAATTATTTTTACCATTGGCTATAACTATCTTTCCCAAAAAACTAGTAACTTATCTCTCATGTCACCGCCTCAACTAAGGTTATATGTCAATAAATTGTTAACTCTCTACACATGAAGGAGAGACCCCTACATCTCACACAAAGATACCTCACCTCACCTTGAGCATACTTTTGCTCCCTCTTTCTCTCCCACCTACCACTTTATCAATAAAGTCCTTCGACCACCATTGCCGTATTCAAAGTGAAATAGTCCATCCTGACCGAACCACTCTGTATCTGTGTTGGTTTGTGTTGATCTTATCTTTATATTTACTGTATTTATTACTTATATTAATTACTCGACAAGTGGTACATAAATCCATTTTTGTGTATCATCAGTTTGACGTTGTCTATGGGAATCGATTTAATTCTCACCCTACAGTTTTTCTACCTTCACTGACAATCACAACCGGATTCATGAACCACCAAGCAAAAGATGACCCACCACATCATGACGAGGTCCCACCACCATCTGCAAAAAGTAGACACAAGAAAAATCTATTTTTTTCACTAATTTGTATTTAAAACTCAAATTCAATGAAAAATAAGCATTTTTTAAAAAATTTTGGTGCCCAAACTACTGTTGGCTATTTTGGTAGATCTCAAAAAAATACTCGAATTAAAAAAAAAATTTTCTCAAACAGACAATTGAGCGCAAAGTTGTGGATGTTCAAAGTTTGAATTTTTTCATGATTGTCTAACACTCCACCAAGCGTTGTTGCCCAGCATGCCAAGACGTTGCTCGTCGCAAAGACTGGCACTACCTAGAAGCTTGCAAGGAATGGCGCCACCATCTAGCTAGGCTGCTCAGTCCAATACTTTGTCTGGTGTCGCCCAGGCCAGCGCCCCTACCTAGCTTGCCTAGGCTGCTAGCACTCAGCTACTCTTGTGCGAGGTGTCACCCAGCCTATTCCCCTACGCGAGGCGCCACCTGACTTTTCCTCTGTGTGAAGGCGTCGCATACGCCTTACCTCCTCGCCCATGCAATCGTTGCTTGCCTCACCAAGGACGATAATAGTCGTGCCATGGGCACCATCCGTCACTCCGGGGTTGCTGTTACCCGTGCCATGGCACCGTTCGCCACTCCGATGTCGCCAGTCCCACTTCTACCCGTGCCATTAAGTCACCTAGCATCACGCAATTAGCGCCAGCACTACCCTTGCCACCCTAGGCGCTGCCTTCTCCCATGCCACTCTTCCTTTGGCACAACCTTCTCCCGTGGCACGGCTTTCCTTGGTGTCGTTATCTTCCAAATGGTCGTCGAACAGCTCATTGTCATCCCCTCTAATGCCTGGCCTTGCCTAATGGCGCCCTTGCCCAGTGGCACCCCTACGCTTATGCTCAGTGATGCTCGAACGTATGCCTAATGGCCCCTACGTGCCCTTGCCTTGACGACTGCCTCCTCGTTCGCATGCGCACCTAATTCCTTGCCCCGTTGGGCACACCGCCTGCAACGCGTGCCCTGCTCGTCCAGCACTGCCTTTGGTGCCTCTTGTCACCCCTCCCAGTGCATCAAGTGACCTTATCTCTTGCGCTAGATGCCCAACACCTCCAATTTTATCCTATTGTCGCCCTCTGGCTACCCTCACGAGTCATCTCCCTCCTCCTCGCTATCTCTTGGGAGTGAGCCACCCGAGTTGCTAGAAGCTCAATCTACCTCTGCTCTCATGTGGACAACTCAGTCTTTTAGCTTAGCAGCTCTCACGAGAGTTGCCAAAAGTTCAACCTCTTTTTGCTTTTACTCTCACGCAGGCAACCTATGTCTCTAACTTTGCATTCTCTTACGAGAGTTGTCAAAAGCTCGTCCTTTTCCTATCTCTACTCTCACGCAAGCAGCCTATGTTCGAGTCGTCAAAAAGCTCGGCCTAATCCTGCTTCTACTCTCAAGCAATCTATGTCTTCAGCTTAGCGGCTCTCACGAGAGTTATCAAAAGCTCGGTATCATTTTGCCTATACTTTCAAGCAGTCTATGTCTCCAGCTCGCATTCTCTCGTGAGTCGAGAGAAAGCTCGGCCTAATTCTGCCTTTATTCCCACGCAGACAGTCTTAATCTCCTGCTTAATGGCTCTCTCACGAGTCGCCAGAAGCTCGGTCTAACTCTGTCTCTACTCTCACTCAAGCAGTTTATGTTTCCAGCTTTGCACTCCCTTGTGAGTTGTTAGAAAGCTTGGCGTAATGCTACTTCTACTCTCAAGCAGTCTATGTCTCCAATTTAGAGACGCTTACAAGGGCTGTCAAAAAGTTTAGCCTTTTTTCGCCTCTACTCTCATACAAGCAATCTATGCGTCTAGCTTAGTGGCTCTCACGAGAGTTGCCAAAAGTTCGGTCTCTTGCTGCCTCTGCTCTCACGCAAGCAACCTATGTTTTCAGCTTAACAGCTCTCACGAGAGTTGCTAAAAGCTCAACCTCACTTTACCTTTACTCTCAAGCAGTCTTTGTCTCTAGCTTCGCACTCTCTCATGGGTCGCCAGAAAGTTCAGTCTAATCCTACTTCTATTCTCAAGCAGTCTATGTCTCTGGTTTAGCGGCTCTCTCATGAATTGTCAGAAGCTTGGCATCATTCTACCTCTACTCTCACACAAGCAGCATTGGTCTCCTAGAAGTTCAAGCTCATTCTGCATCTGCTCTCACATAAGCAGCCTCAGTCTCCTAAAAGCTCAGCCTCAAAAGGTGTTGCCATCTCATGAGTCAATCTTAACACTCCTTAGTATCCTGACGCCCACCCATCTCTCTTCCACCAAAAGCTCTTGGCATTTCATCGAGTTTGAGCGTCCTCAAAAGTACAAAAAATTCGCAGCCATCTGCGAATATCCGAAAGCAAAAATATCAATATGACTGAAACATACAAAAGACAAGCTTCCACATAACAAAGGAGTACCATAGCAAAACTCCCCATCGTGGTATCGATGTTACTCTTAGGATCCCAACAATTGACTTATCTAATATTTGAAGTTGTCACAAACCTCCAAAAATGCTCCTCGTCCAAATTCAGGTCTTGCATCACAGACACCGAGCCACTATTAGAAGCAAAACAATGACATAGAGCTCTGGTCTCAGTGAAAGTCTGCACATGAGTCTCAATCTCTAAAGTAGTACTACGACTAACCCTAAGACTCAAAGGGTTACATGTTGAGAAGAAGCAGGGACACCATTAGAAAATAGTAGAGTCATTAGAATTTGGCTGCAAAGCACTAGGGACATTAGACTTCAATTGGAAAGCATTGGGGGTATCGGATCTCACTTTTTTAAGAAGAGGGGAAGTCACCATCCTAGTTACATAGAGACTTCACCATTGATCTATCAACCATAGGATCACATGTGAAAGAGAGAATTTTCATAAACCAAGGACATTATCAATTTGTTTGGGTCCTCCTGGGTGTCGCCCATAGCACCGCCCAGCCTCGCGCTTTCCATGATGTTGCCCAGGTTCATATCCATGGCGCCACTTACCAAAGCATCTCCATCTCCACGTGCCGAAACGTTCATGCTTCTCTTTATTCTCTCTCCAACAATAACGTTACCAAATAGAGAAATAAGAATAAAAAATTAATGGAGTGGAAAGCTGAAGAAATCACCATATAAAACAAAATATATGTTTTACTCGAAATAAGGAGTTCACTCATGGCCATAACTCCCGATCACTACTAGGGTTTGAAGCATGGGCGCATCACTTTTCATTATCAAATTTGAATCTGCCTTATTAGCTCTTATCTCTCCACCATTTAGATTTGGAATCCTAGTCTTTGAACGGGGTCAATGGTAGAAAGTTTTAATTATTCTTTAGATGGGTGTTTATTGAAAAGGTTTGATTATTTTATGTTATTTGTGTTGATCTCATTTTTATATTTATGACATTTATTACTTATATTACTTAGTCGACAGGTGGTGTATAAATCTATTTTTGTGTATCATAACTAGTATTTGATACTGTTCAAAAAAAAAATACTAATTTTTGATAATGCAAACTATCATCGCAATAATTCAATAAATTTAAAGATGTGTTTGATAACATTTTCGTTTTTATGTTTTTTTTTTAAATAAAATTTTTTTTTTGCGATAAAAATTAAAAATATAAAATATCATTTATATTTAAAAAATTATAAAAAAAAAACATGTTTAGTATTTACCGAAAACCCACCACCCAAACCATTGAAACCTATCACCGAAACCCACCGCAACCAACCCCTACAAAATCCCCCACTCAAACCCCTGCAAAACCCCTCACCCACACCCTAAAAACCAACCAACCAACCAACCAAGACAAAAAAAAAATAGATAGAGGAGAGAGAGAGAGAGAGAACGAGAGAGGGATGAGAGAGACAAGGCTACAACTAACCACCATGATCTCTTCCGGCCGCCTTCACTTATTCACCACTGGGAATCTTCAATCTAGCCACATCCATCTCCAACAACCCAAACCATTTAAACAAACACTCATCTAAAGAATAATCAAACCTTTCTACCATTGACCCCCATTCAAAGACATGGATTCCAGATCTAAGTGGCAGAATGATAAGAGGTAATAAGACAGATTGAAATTTGATATCCAAAGGTGATGCGCCGAGTCCGTATGGAATGGGTTGTTGCACTTGGTTTTAGCAATGGTTGACTCAATCCATAAGAGAGAGAGAGAGAGAGAGAGAGAGAGAAATAAAGAGAGGCGCAGAGGGGAGACCGGGAAAATAAAAAAAAAAGTAAAAGAGCAAAAGGGAGTTCTTATGCTCAAACAAAAAAATTAAGTTGGATCGAAATCAAAATCTCATTAATTTCACTAAAGTTTTCCTTGTGTTTTTGATTTTCGGGTGTTTATGAAAATACTTTTTTTGTGTTTTAATTTTTTGACCTTATTTTTAAAATAGAGTTTCTTTAAAAAGAAATATATATATATATATATAAACATATTTTTGTTTTTATTTCTGGCAAAAATTTTAAAAAAAAATACAAAAACAATAGATTACCAAACGCAATCTAATTATGACATTTGATAACGTTTTTGTTTTTAGGTTTTTTTTAAAATAAAAAAACCAAAATTAGTTTTTATTTTTTTATTTTTGTGATAAAAATTAAAAATATAAAATATGTTTGGTAATCATTTATATTTAAAAAATTATAAAAAAAACATGGTTAATATTTATTTTAGGTAATATTTTATTGATATTATTTTTTTTAATATTTTAATCCTAAATACCTATGTCACAATTGGAGATGTTCTTTATAATAAAAAACAAAATAAAATTTGGAGATGTCAACAACAACACACACTCACCGGCGAGATCCTCTTGTTGGGACACACACACATATAGATTTATATACGGTACACATACACACACAAGCACAAATAAACACACACACATAGATCTATGTAAAAAAATACATCATATATGTAGATCTATGCGCATATATATATATATATATATATATATATAGATTTATGTATATATGGTATAAAATTAAGGAAAATGGGAAAATGAGCGAGAGAGACGATTTCGTCTTCGTCTTCAATTTCGTCTTTGGTTTCAGAAGAGAGAAACCAGCGAGCGAGTGAGAGAGAGATATGAGACATAGAGATGAAAAAAAAAAGGCTTTTTATAGGTTGCACAAAAAAAAACGTCATTTATTCGCTAATGAGATTCGAAAGTTGGATTCACTAGTTTTGGATGTTTTTAAAAACATTATTTTTTATGTTTACAGATTTGAACCTTGTTTTTAAAACAATGTGACTTAAAAAAAAATAAAAATATTTCACAAACACATTTTTTTTTTTTTGCAAGAAGTTTAAAAAAAAAAACACAAACACACGGTCACCAAATGGCACCTCAATAGTACCGGTCGTTGGGCGGAGGGGTTCCGTATGTAATGATTTGTAAACTCAAGGGGTGTCGTGCAATTTTAAAAATATCAAAGGGTCTGCTTGTTATTTGATCAAGAGTCAAGGGTGTGAAGGAAATTTACCAAATTATACATTTCAAAATAGTGACTACCGGGATGATCCATTTGTGCATTTCCCACCATGTATGTGTGCATCTTTTCGCAACTTGGCAAGGATTCTTTATGTCGCAAAGTGATATATAGTTAATTTTGTAAAAAATAGAGTTAATTATTTATTTGACCTTTAAATTATACCATTTGTGTTAATCAAGTTTTTGAACTATAATTTATATTAATTTAGCCCCTAACCCATACCATTTGTGTCAATGTGGCCCTTTCATCCAAATTCGTAGTTAACTTTGATGAAATTCCACACGTATTTATCATGTGAGTAGGGAATTAGGGTATAATTTAAAGGTTATGTTATACACATAAAAAATTCCGTCAAACTTAACAACAAATTTAGACGGAAGAGTCATATTAAGACAAATGTTTTAGTTCAGGGGCTAAATTAATATAAAACATATTTTAAGGACTTAATTGACACAAATGATATAATTTAGAGGGGAATAAGTAGGAATTCTTAGTTCTACATTGATAATTTTTTTTAATCTTTTGTGGAATTAAAAGCGTATTGTAGCTGAAATGTATCCGAAATTTGGTGGTGGGCCCATGTGATGACTTGGTCACCTTGGGCAATAAGGTGGGTGAGATAAGTGGGCTTGGTCAGAATATGAAAGGGTATTTTCAGAAATCCGCAAAAGTAATAACACAGATATAGATTAGGAGTTATCCATAATGAGGTCAGGGAAATCCTAATTCTTGTCCAGATGGGGAACAAGTATCCTATCTACCAAACATACCCATGTTAGCTGGAGGAGAGAGGTGGAACAAAGGGTAATACAACAGCCAAGCATATGCTGACACGTGGACATATACAAACATCGTTCAATCCATGAGGCGCTCTAGCCATCACTCAATTTGTCAAAGAGTAAATATCATAGTCTTTTGGAGATCCCACTATTCAGAAAGAAAACCCACCAAACAAAGCCTTATAGTGGGTGGTTATTCTGAAGCTATTATCATTGTCGAGATGGCCCTTCTGGTTCAGTCCATGGCTACTCAGAAGCCAATTCCATTAGCCACCAAAACTGTTGGCTCTAAAAAGGTCAGTTTTTGCTTCCATAACTACTCTCATACATTCAATTCTTCTTATTATTGAGCAAATCTATGTATATGTGTTTGTTGGGGGGGGGGGGGGGGGGGGGAGAGAGAGAGAGAGAGAGAGAGAGAGAGGGGTGTATGTGTGCCTCATATTGAACAGTATGTGCCTATTGAATATTTGAATTACCTCTGTCTGTTGCTTTCTTGATTGGAGTTACCTTCTGTTCAATTTGGCTTTCTTTGGTAATCGAATCATTTCAGTCATGCATTCTCTAGATTCATGATATAGTCTTTAAAAGCGCACAGTCGTCCACTAATCATGCACATTGATTAAACTCGGGTTTTATGCAGCTAAGAGGATACATCTCGCCCTAAATCATATATGGTTTCTCTCTCACGTGGTTGAGTTGTTCTCTATTAAAACCCCAAAAAAAAAACCAAAAAAGAAGGAAAAATGAGTCGCCCATTTTTAATCCATCATTTTAACTTGGAAGTAATGTTCTTGTTAGCTACTTTAGAGGAGGATAAAATTATGTTGTGTTTTTGCGTTTAATGTGACTTATCTTATATGTTTTTCTTTATTATTGATAGAAATTCTCTTGTCAAGACCCTATGAAGCGATTAAAACCTCATATTAATCACTTAATATGAAGAAAATGCATTCATCAACATGAGCAATTTCCACCTTTTGCTATATTGCAGGCTGCAACAGTATTCCCGCTAGGAGAGCAAGGCCCAAGGACAAGTTACTCAACAACCACACCACCAGTGAAGCTACTAACAAGGGTGGAGCAGCTGAGACTCCTAACCAAAGCAGAAAAAGCTGGGCTCCTATCAGCAGCAGAAAAGTTTGGTCTTTCGCTGTCAAGCATAGAACAACTCGGTCTCCTCTCGAAAGCAGAAGAGCTAGGAGTACTTTCCACGGCTACTGATCCTGGAACGCCATCTGCTCTGCTGAGCCTGAGCTTGGTGTTGCTGGTTTTGGGTCCTTCCTGTGTCTTCCTGGTGCCCGAGGACTACCCCTGGGAAATCGCGTTGCAGATTGTGGTTGCTCTGCTTTGTGTGGTTGGCGGGTCTGCTGCTTTTGCAGCATCAAATTTTGTATCCAATTTGCAGAAATCAAATTGAAATTGCTGATACAGATGTGTGCTGCACTGGGTAGTTTGTTTCTGTGTTGCTTTTTTATTCTTTTTTGGTAACAATGGAAATTATGGGAGCTCGGAATTTCATGCTTCATGTACTGATGCAGCACAGAGAGAGAGAGAGAGTTATCCTTAAAAGATAAGGAGCATCACAATATCATTTTCCAAAAGAATATAAAGATGCACCAAAGATCCAACACACTCTTTTATGTCACTGAATAAGAGAAAAAACCCCACAAAAACCGAAGATGTTATCATCTGTTAAATCTAACTAATATCCCAAGAAAGGATAGGGATGGAAAAAAAGGGGCAAAAGGGTTGAAGTAATCAAAATCCATACGAAATTTCTGGTACCCAAAATTATTGAAATAATAATTTACTAACAAAAATTGTTTTTTTTTTTTTTTTTCTCTTATGGAGAAACACCATCTTTATTCGCACCACTTTGACGACCAAACCTTCCACTTCCGTTCTGATCAACACGTTGATAGGTCTCAACATTGCGTCCACCAGGACCTTTAGGTCGGCTTGAGAACTCACCCTGGTTTCTAAACTCATTCCTGCCATAACCCCTGCCACTGCCAAAGTTACCACGGCTCCTGAAGCTGTCATTCCGGAACCCACCCCTCCCTGAAGGGTACCTTCCTCTCCCACTGCCGCCAACTGCAAAAGAAACCAATATGCCATCATTTAGAGTAAATCGATAAAAGGTCCATAGCTTGTTCTCAGGTTTCTAAATTAATAGTATCATAAATTCAACTCACCTCGGGTGGTAGTTCTCTTCTCCTCAACCACAGCTTGGCGACCTCCTATCGTTACAGGTGAGGCCTGAAATAGTTACAGAAACTTCAATATAAGCCAAGGCAGCAGCCAGATAAATCAGCTACAGTAACCAGTGTCAATTCCATAAAGGTTTATTGGATCAGAAAGAATACGCAACAATACAAACAAGAATGTTAAAAAACATTTTGCTTAGCAATTTCAATCATCAACCAAGATTCAACACGAAGAGATATGCTTTGGAGTTGATATCATATCAATCAACTTTGAGTGACAGGCAAAAGTTTCCACATGAAACAAATTAATTTTAAGCCACATCTTGACAATATACAATATGCATGTTTTTTCAATCGGAACACTGCCTTAGATCATACAACCTTCCTAGACCTAAACTTCTCTCACAATGCTGTGATTTTTCACATTACTGATGCAATCCGCATGTAATGGTTTCCCGGTTATGATGTTTCAGAAGATCACAACCCTGGAGCACTTGATACCATGCCATGTACCCATGTAACATAGCGAATATTACAATTCAGCACAAAGTCTTTATGGACTTGTAAAGAACCTTTACAGCAGAACATATGGCTTCCCAGTGGTGTATGCATTGTGCCTATAAGAAATACAATTCTAGTGGTATTTCGGTTATCATTTGGGAAATGCTTTGCTTAATGCTGGAACCAAAATGCTAGAAAGAATTTTGACAAACTTCTAAGGCTGCTAAGCCCTGGAATAGAAGAACATCATAGGCTGCAAATAAGCATTACCTGGCTATAGATATATACGACCTCTTTTCCCAGCCTCTATATCAAACACTTTTCAGCACAGATTAGTTTTAACTCGAACTGAATTATCAAGAGACTCAAGACAAGGTTTGGATATCCATTTCCACCCTTATGACAATGAGATCAGCATGAACATGTATTTCCTTAACGTCACCTCTCACAGTTCTATTTTCTCTAAACTCTAAAACATTCAAGCTTGTACAAATGTGTGTACTATATTATAGGCAATGTCGAAGGTTGTGAACAAAGGAAACTGGATTATTTGTTGTTTGAGGAGATCATCTTCGACGTCTAGACACAGGAAAATACAATGGTACCTTGTGTCCATAACAACACTACCTAAGTACTGAATAATACAGAGCTCTTAAGTTAGATACGTTAGATCAGAAAGAACAAAGTAATCCAATCTTTGTTGACTGCAAATAGCAATCAACATGATGATAAATTCAGCTGAGGCTGCTATATTCTATTTGTCAACTTCTTTACAAGGTCAACTCAAGATACATTGATAGGGATCAAGAGTGAAGGGAATGCTTTGGTGGCAAACTAGGGAAAAGTATTATGGTGGTACCTTTATTGCATTCTGCATGGAATCCAACGATTCAAATTCCACAAAGCCAAAGCAAAATCCCTGCTGCTGGACAGAAATACACAGATAAACTGATGAATATTACTTGAAAAGAAATGCCAGAACAAAAAATGCACACAATAATGTCTGACACAGACCTTATTACTTCTGACTTGGATGCCAGAAGGCTTAATAGACCCAAATTTTTTGAACTCCTCCTCAAGTTGTGCAGGCATTGCATTCATAGGCAAATTCCGTACATATATGGAGTGACCTTCAGCTTCAAGTTGCATGAAGCCAATATCAGAATATGCATCAGTAACTGGAATTTTAAAAGCATCAAAAGACAATTTAAAAAGTTATAGTTGCATTTCGCACTAAAAAGTTTTATCTCATACCACAATGCACCACAGAAATAAATTGGTTGGAAAATGCGTATACAGGGTTAATAAATATGGAGAGGCAACTTGAAAGTCAAAATAACAATCCATATACTCCATGGAAAATAATAGATACCTTCCTCGTGAGCACCACTACTTTCAGGAGCACTGTCACTAGTAGGAGCTGATGCTTCTGGTTCAGGAGAAGGCTTTGCAGAATCAAGAGCCAGTTGATCAACATGGGCAGGTAGCCCCCTTACACTACTGGAAGGAACATAGACGACCATCAATGGCTTAGAAACCTTAGGTACCTTCACCTATAAGAAACTAAATGGAATAAGTAACTGCGATGGAGAGTGTCAGCACCAAAACCTGCGATATCAATGGACACAAACTCACAATTGATGCATAAGATTTCTTCTCCTCTTGGGCTGTAGAGGGATCTGAACTCACGATTGTGATAGTCTCATTCTGACTAAAATGAGCTGGAGGTTCATCAACGAGTTCTTCTTCGATAACTGATCCTTCCTCATCGTCTGAAGGGTCACAAACTTCTGCACCATCGTGTAGATCCTCATCCTCTAGAGTAGTTTCTGGATCAAATGCAGGATGATCGGGAACATGAGCGGGCTCTGAAAACAAGGACAAAAGGCATGCCAAGATTTACTTAGAATACTTGCAAAATAAATAGATCTAGTTATAAAATTAATATCCTATGTAGAGGACAAAGAATTAAAGCCAACCAGGTTCTGATGTCAAAGGAGCTGTTGGAGCACTGTCATAGAAACCATTAACTGATGCAGAGCTGGTCCCCAATAGATCACTTTCTTCAACATACCTAAAAACATCATTTAAGACAAAGTAGCCTTTCTCCTGTGGAGCTAGAAAGAACGTTTGTGTGAATTTCCTTCTCATGTCATCCTTTCCGGTTAAGCATCCTGTCACCAGAACAATAACCCCTCCCTGGTAAGAATCCTGAGCATCTGCAGTTTTGATCTCTGCCTTGTAGTTCTTGTAATCCAACGATTGAATCTTGTCGTTGATTGCCTGAGCAAGGTGAACATAAAAAAGTTTATAAAAAATCTGACAATTACGAATGTTAACAAGATCTAGCTGTACGCATATAAAAAACTTAAAAAAGTATATAATGGTCGTCCCGATGGAAGATGAGATTTCATTTATTATCGAAATGCCAAGGCACGCCATTTATAAGCCAACTTTCCAAGTTCAAATATTATAAGACGACAAAGAAAGCTCCAACCAACATGAAAAGGCCACATAGGTCACGCCTGTTAGCTTACATGCATTTCTCATGTTCGAGTATATCCTCCTACAGCTTAAACCTTTTCTTTCCTTTCAATCCAATAAATTGTAAACAAAATTTTCGAACAAAAGGTGCACTAATCTTAAAGAACCCAATGTTGCATTAAGACTAAACACTGAACTGGACAACACAAGGGCCCACTTCTGGTTTCACTAGTTCAACTTCAACCATCACAATCCAACACTGGCACACAGAGGCTACTTAAAATGATGCACTGCAGAGGCTAGGACTGCTATTGAGAGATGCTAACTCGTATGCTCCACCTAGCCCGCTTAACTAGGACAAAATAGGAGGTAAATTAATGCACAGATCGAGTGAAAACATAGGCATCATAATATTGCACTAAAATAGATATTCTCCCAACATATTATATTTGCACAATATTTCTTTATTATCCTAGTAGGCGACCAAAAATTATCAACCTACCCATTAAGATACATTACGTATTTACTTGTGCGATATCTTAATTTTGAACAGGATGCAAATAGTTGTCAAAATGATGTCCAAGATAAAAAGTGAACTCGACAAGTAAAACTTGCACGGGCACATGTCAATATGTTGTGATTGAGTGACCAACACAAAATTGACTTCGCAAGCTCAAGGAAAAATGATTTTACAGGAGCACACAACTGTTATGATATGTGGATATTTGATGAATTCCATGATAGCGACCAAAACTCACTAATGGCATCTACTACAGAAGTAGAAACACCCTTTGCTAACACACTACTCAAAATGTTGGACGGAAAGGAATGCAGGCTAGACTCAAAGTACTCAAGGGTCTCTGGAGTTTAAGACATTAGGCCATGGCACATGTATGTATGTTCAAGAAAATACATCTATGTACATGCTTTTGAGTTTGTTTCTTTTTGTGTTAGAACCATAATCAGGCGATCAAAGAAAAGTAGAGACTCTGTCACAGATGCACCTGAATATAGCAACACAATATTTTGCGCATGCTTCAAGAATTTAAAACTGCTATCCTGGGCACCTGATACAAGTGGAGTATGTATGTCAAATTACGCATCACCAAAATCCTGCTCTTTTGACTTGTTTATTTTACCTCGAATCTAGAGCATGGAGCATACAAGTCATTTAGTCTAACCCTTAAATAACGGATCATCGATTATAGAACACTTCCTGAAGCCATACGAACAAAATGAGCTTATTTTCACTTTTTAAGAGGTTGGCAGACAACCACCAAAGGGTTCTTAAAATGGAATCTATGCAGTGCCCAACAGAAGCTCCAACTATGACATTGCACACAAACTAACATTTCGGGACAAATTCATGTTGCATATCATCTCAAAGCATCCACATCCCACCCAAGGGTAAACTAGCAGCCAAATATCTGATACCCCCAAAAAATACCCATAATCAGAAGAAGCTAGATGGCACAGTAATCCAGAACAAGGAAAGAAGAGGAGTCAACCAACATTGATGTGAATGTGAATTAGTCAATTAGGAGCTTTAGAACCACTCTCTAGAAATGCAAACAGCCAAAGTAGATATCACAGGTAATAAATTTTATGGGTGGAACATGAGGATAATACCACTCCAAATCATGCAAGACGGTTATTTGAAAAGATGCGGGAGAAATACATGTGTCCAGCATGAAAGATATTTAGAACATGAGATATACACCTCACTTTGGAAAGATATGGGAAAGTGCACTGGATAATCTTTATCGCTTTAATTTTTCATACACTTGCAATTACAAGCACACACACAATGTGTTTGATGTAATGATTGTTTGAATCCTACATCTTACAAATTCATCATTGTGGTTGGTTGTTGGAGTTGGCGTTGTTGGAGGGATGGATTGGAGTGAATTAGATTGTTGGGCTTGTTAATTGACACTAGAACAGATCCAGATCTCTATAAATAGGGAGTTCTGTCCATTGAAAGACACCATATTCACACTAAAATGCACGCCGACATTGATTTTTCATGTTTCAAATTTAACTTAGCCATAAGAGTAACCTTGCAATTTTTCATTACCAGAAAGTTGTAGTTGTATGAGGCAGAAAAGACAAAGATGTCATCAGATGTTTTTCAAGGAACATAATTCTTTCTTCTGATTAATGATAGTGTAGCTAGACAGTTGATTTTTTTTTTGTATCGCACTCGGAGCAGTGTAGCTAAACTCAACTCCGATTAATATTGGAAGTTTTTTAAAAAATACTGTTGCAACTTGGTTTGGTAATCTTTGCTGTTGATAGGAGTTATTTCAAAATTAATCGCCATAATTTGGTTTGGTTTTGCCAGCAATAATTAGTTTAACCCTATTTTAAGTATCCAAGGCTCTTGTGGATCTAAAATAGTCACAAGTAGCACTTTGTTAGAAAGGAAAAAGTCCTTGTTCTAGAATGCAGGAGTATTTCTTCCCATTCCTTCACAATTGCCTGAAAAACTGTAAATCTGGGAACACCAGCTTGTAGGGAATTGATTAGGTTATTATGGATCTAGCAAAGAACTCTCTGTGCACCAGGAAATTAGACAAATGAAACTGACACACCCAGTGGGACACCACAATACCAAAGGGTGTAGTCATTTGTGACTTATTTAACAATAGTACATAAAGTGTGTCTCCTACATGAGGAGAGACGGGAAATATCTGGAAGTTGGTGAATCATACAAAAGTCACCACAGGGAGTTGTCTTGAGCAGTTTTAGCAGATCTCTGAACTAGTACGACCTTTAGCAGACCAGCTTGGTATTGCAGAGAGGAAATTGTGAACAATGTGGAAGAATCTAGAATGACATAATAGTCCATTACTGACTTGTACAATAGAAATCTTACACATGATGATGACTTTGGCACCACCCCTGTTTAGAAGGAGGAGATTTTCTTTGTCCAAAATATACCCTTTTAATTAAAGATGCCATGCGGCAAAGAAATCCAAAAGCAAGTAATGAAAAAGAGTTGAGCAACTCCCCTGTCTAAGGGTTGAGAGATGTGATTTAGGAGCATTTTGGCCAACAGCTAGAAATGCAAATAGCCAATGGAGGAGTTATTGTGATTATTCAACTGCACACAGGGAAAATGAAGATCAGACCATGACAATCATGCAAGGGTGATTAATTGAAAAGTTTCAGGAGAAGTACAAGTATCCAGCATGCAAGAAGTCCAGACAATGAGCCATACACCGTGTCTAGAACTTGGAAAGACCAGTGACGTGCACTGAAGATTGATAGGAACACTACTTTCACACTAAAACTCATCCAGACTTGCTCATTTTTGTTTCGGAAATGCAACTTAGCAGTAGGAATACCCTTGTAACTTTTGATTTCTAGACATTTTGTCGTTGTAATGAGGCTGAACTGACGCAAATGCGTCCTTGTGGATGTAACCAGTTCTTAAATGAACATATTTCCTTCTTCTGCATCTTTAATGGTAGTTTAACAATAGTTTAGTCGGTAGTGCAGACATAGCCTTGTACATGACGGTTTTCAATTTTCGACATGTTAATCACACTTGAAGTAGTGAAATTTAACTTGGCCTAGATCAATCTTGATACTCTCAAAATTTCACCTGTAACTTGGTTGAGAATCTTCAACATGGTTAGGAATAACCTAGTTGCCATAATTTTGTAATTATAGAATTTATTTTTGGTTTCTTTAGCTGGAGTGCGTTTAACTACAGTTGAAGTAATTGTAGAATCACAGTCCCAAAAGACCTAAAATAGTAAAAAGTGTTAACTTTGGTAGAAAACAAATAGTACTTGTTCTACTGGGTAAAAGGAATCCAGTAAAGATATTCTCTCCCTAGAGACTTCATAATCACCTGAAAAATCATAAATATGGCTGACACCAGCTTGCAGAGAATTGTTTTGGCCAATTGCACATATTTTGAGTCCATTAAGACTCTGGCACATCGAGCACCGAGAATTAGCCAAACCTATATATCCTGACAACACATATAGATGGTAGAGAAAAGTAAAGCACTTACTTGCATCGTCGTCACTGAATTCATTATGCCAGTGGAATCTGGTCGGCTTAACACGCTTGAATCTTGATAAAATTTATAAACTAATTCTGGAGATTGGTGAAGTATATGGTAATACTGCTCCACAAATGCATTGCCAATAACTTGGGCACTAGGAGCTGCCGCAGCATGACTTACTGCCTGCATTGCCATCTGCATAATCCCAACGTCAACAAATTATACAAAAGAATATAATAACAATTAGACAAAAGAATATAATAACAATTAGACACGACAAATATTTATAATATAATATGTAATAACGTACCCAATATACAACTAGCATTCATTGCAATTTCGGTGCATTCTAATATAAACTTTGCACGGGGTAAGGAGGTGTGTGCTGTGGTGAGTCAAAAATTTTTTAGAGTACTAAGCTAAATGTATCTATTTTAATAAGAAGACAACATATCTAATTTTTGCTCAAATTTCAGATGAGACATATAACTAGTCCATGGAACCAAATTCTTTATGGCATTTGGTTATTAAGAACAAATATGGATTACAAGCTACTGGATGGGAAGCTAATGAGAGTGTCCGTGTTTCATAGGTTTTAATACGTTTCCCTCTATTCTACTTCAAGAGGTACCTATAAGATCCTATATAAGCCCATAGCCCCATCTAAGTTCAATTTGATAATTTTGGAGCCAATCCCGTAGTGGTTCTAGCACAACGACACATAATGGGATCAATTACTTTCTGCCAAGGAGTCAACTTGCGTTTCTGTTAGGCTCTTGCAATTATTAGTATGAACAAAATATCCTTGGATAATAAGGGAAATATTGTCCCTAAAAGCAAGATCAAATTTTCCAAGGGAGTCAATTTGTATTATTATAGATTTTACTCTCCATCCTTTTAACTTTTGTGCAAATTGAAGGACCTAAAATTTAATTTGTTAAATTTCCAGCTGAATAAAGAATCTCAACTTAAAATTCAGGGTTTAGCCATTTAGGGTTTAATCCTTCCAATTCACAATCTAGACACTTGCTCTGGAATGATAACTACTAACCTGTGGTCGTAACAAGGCCTAACTGGGCAAAATTCTGTTTCCTTTTTCAGCAACCAAAAGGACGCCACTAATTATATTGAGAAAACAGAAAAGTTGAATGGGAGGAATGCTAGAGTAATGCATGCTAAGGGGATCATAGTACACTTTCCAAAGTGGTTTTTTTCCCTTTTTCTTTTTTTTTTGTTTGGGGGGGGGGGGGGAGGGTGGGCAGTGATGTGACAGTATTATTTCTCTTCACTATTTTCTAGGTGCTAAGGATTTTCTAGACTTTGGGAGGCCATGGCCCCTGCATGACCCCCTTACATTTCCCTATGCATCGTTCCCCACCCCCCAAAACACACACGCAAACACACAAACAAAAAATATCCTCAACTGCAAAGGAATAAATGGAGAGCAACCAAATAATTAAGAAGGTGACATTAAAATTTTCCTCAAATTAGAAACAAGTAGAAGTGTAGAACATAACTTCAATATGAAAGTTAAGCTACCCGAGTCACACCAACATAATTTCCCTTCATTAAATAGAAATGAGTCATAATAGCTTCAATATGAAAACTCAAAGATCTTATACATGCATGCCTTTAAGGGAGAGAGTTGACCTAGTAAAAACACCTTCAAAACAAAATATGAAATCAATAGTAGCTCTAAGAGCATCTCCAACAAAGTTATGTATTTTAACTATCCAAAAGTACACTTTTTTCTATTTTAGTAATTCACTATTTCAATACACACTCTAACGGATTTTCTATATTTTAACTGCTTCTTTTAAATATTATTTCACATACTTTGTACCTTTGTTGGGACTGTTGGAGTTAGAGAGAGAGAGAGAGAGGAGAGAATGGAGGGAAAGACAATGAGTGGATATTAGATGTGGGAAAGGACAGGAGGAGAGAGAAAAAAATAATAAAATATTTATACAAGTTGCTACAGTAATGCTATATATTCAGTGTATCACTGTGGCAAAAAACTATTTTAGAGCATGTGAACATATTATGTTGGAACATGGTTTTTGTCTTAGGTTAGCTAAATTTTAACTATTTTGGAACTTTATATGTTCTGTTGGAGATGCTCTTGAGATACCTAATAGTTAAAAGCCTACAGAAAAGTATTGATAATCAAAATATAGCCACAACCACAATGGACAATTTGCAGTCAAATGATGATGATACAGAGCATTTACTATAGGACATTATATATCACGGCCAACATATCTGCATCAAGGCTCAAGAGCATCTTGAAATTCATGCTCCCAAGTCCGAATCATCTTTCATGTGTGTAAAGGAATGTACATTGAAGCTATGAGTACCAGATTTTCAACACAGCTGTCCAGAATTTAAAAATTATTTCATGTTCTTCCCATCTCAGTTTTCTGAGCAGCCAAACAAGGGTAAAGATGGTTGGCATCTATGAGTTTGATGTGGATCTATCAATTAACACATATTAAGCGAGTAACATACAAACCGAAATGCTGGAAACAGAGCCAACCTTATATAAGAAGAAGCACCCCAAAATAGAAATTTAAATCCTAACATAAGCCTGAATCTACAAATCAGAAACTGAGCACACATATTCCCAATAAAGTCAAGGAGAACAGAAGTTTCTAGTAATAAGAAGCATAAACACCACAAAACACGTATACAACTGTAAAGTTAACAAATTCAAGCCAAAAATTCTCATGGTCTCATAGATTTCAAGAACTAGGGCTAATAATCAATTGAATAAACAAAACCCAGAAATACCCAGATCAGAAAACTTACTGATCTAATCAAAACACTGCTAAACTAACCAAGTTTTCTCTCTAAATAATCATTTCATACAGACAGTAACGTTTATAACTATGGCTAAAAACTCGAACCCACCAAAAAAAACACAGAATGATTCAGATAAAAGGTAAATCAACCTATAGTGGCTCAAATAGAGACTGATCAATCCAATTTAGTGTACAACAAAGCAAATCAATATATCAATCAAACAGAAACAGGGTATCCACGATGAGAGGGTGAAAATGAAACAAGAAAAAGTACCTGTTCTTGAGTGATCTGAGTAAGAAGAGAAAAAGATGTGGAGAGAGAAAGAGAGGGAGATCTGCAAGACTTGGTGCGGGAGGACGGAGGACAGTGGACAGACAATAACAGCGTATGTTGTGTTCTGTTGTGTTATGTACTTGGGTTGCGTTGAGACTTAAGATCATATCAAAAGCGACCCTTTTTGTGTTTTCTTTAAACTCTAAGCTGTGGAAATTTTTTTGTACCCCAAAATCTGAGGAAAAAAGATTTAATAATTTAAAAATTATGAGGCAAAGTTTCTTTGGGACACCTTCTTCTTTCTAATAATTTCATTGGCATGCTTTTTGTTTTTGAAATTATAAAAACACCCCTTTTCAGTGTCGAGACTTTTTTTTCTTCAAATTTACTCTTTTCTTGAACTAATATAAGATTAACCCTGAATAAATTTAATATCCACCAAGAACGCCATCCTCCGTTGTCATTTTTTTAAAAAAAATTTATCATTATTCTACATTTTTTGGTATTTTCTTTCATTTTTTAGTTTTAATTTTTATTTATGTCAATCCTTTGTTTTTATTTTTTCTTTTACGGTTTTCAACCTCACCTTTTTGGTTGTTTTAGTTTTGTTTCATCTTCTTTTTTCCTATTTTTATAATTTTTGGTATTCGATTATCTTGAATTTTCATTTTTCCGATATGTATTGAATTCTCATACTTATATTCCCATCTCTATTTCAATTTTCAACTGTATTTATGCATTTTTTTGTCTTTTTTTTTTAAATTACACTTTCTCATTTCTTATTTGACTTTTTTTAGGTGAATTGAGTAGGGAACGGGGGGTAGAATGTGATTTTGATAAAAATATGGAATGGTGTATGCAAAAATCAATGGTTGACCATGGTGGTTGACAAACAGATAAAAAATTATTACAATAACGGATGTCAACGTTTTTGGAAATTAAAAGAAACTCACTGTAATTTGTTTAAAATATAAAGGGTGCTGGTATTGTTTTGCTGATTATATAACATTGCCTAATGAAACTAAAATACGAACTAACAAGTTTTGAGAGAAGTTTTAGAATCAAACCGTGACTCAAATTTTTACTCAAATTTAAGTTAATAGTTGAGTAAAAAGTTTGATTTGATACAAATGATTCTAATAGACAAATTCAAATTTAAAGAAACAGAAACTCAAATTTAAATGAGGGCAACCCAAAATTAAATGAAAGTAAAGATGATCATTGAATTTTTAAAAGAGGGTGAAATATCACCATTAAAGATTTGAGTAAAGATTTGAATCTCCCTTCTTAATTATTAGTTGAAAGTCAATCGAAAATTAAAAAATTAAAAACGAAACACCTCAGATATTTGGGCCAACTCTGTAGTATGAGGGATGTTAGAGACGTTGGTGCTCGTAGAATCAAAGAATAAAAGATAAACTAGAGTAATGCATCTAATGTATTATGTAATTAACATCATATTTTAAGTTGAACGGTAAGTCGTGCAAAACAATTATTAGATAAGCAATACTTCAATATAAAATGTTGGGCAACTACTAAACAAAATCTTTAAAAAACTAAGTGTAATTGACAAATGATGAGAAGGTGCATGGTAAAATAAAAAAAGGGGTAAGAATTAGGGATGATCTATTTACGACGTACATAGTATTTAACATTTCTCAATTTTTTTCTTCTTGTGTTCACCTATCATTTTTATATAGACTATCTCTGGGGCCATGGTAATAGTGCCTGGGTGGTGGGGGCTGGGGCTATTTTACATCGAATAATTTTTGGGTGTGTGAGTAATATAAATATTTTCACTGGCGCTTACTTTGTTAGAGTAAGTGGTTAGTGTTGTGTTCAATATATATAGACCGTTACAAGTTGGGGGGTTATTTTGTGAATTTTTTAAAAATTACAAGATTACTTGTTAGTGTATAAATACTAATAATAAGTAAATAAAAGATTCCATGTAAAAAAAAAACTATTTGATGAGATTAGTCTCATCAATTAAAATCGAGAGAGAATTGAGGGGGTTAGAGAGAAACAAAGAAAGAAGAAGATGTGATTGGCAACTGTGTAACTCTCTAACTCTGGGTCAACGTACTCATGATTTCGTACTTGTTTGGTGTTTTTTGAACTGTAGGAGCCTTAATTGGTATGTAAATGGATGTTTAGTGATTGTATTGGCTTAGCACTTTCAACAATTGACATTAATTTGCATAATTTGGGATTTGTTTTTGTTTGTATTGTTAATTTAAACTTGAAATTGTCTGCAATTAGCCCAAGATTAGTATTTACCTTTTGCGGTCGACTTCTGTAAAAAAAAAAAAAATATATATATATATATATTGCCAATTTTTTTTTTTTTTTTTTTTTTATGGACGCCACCCATCACCACTCAGTCCTATCATGCCCTACTAGTACTCAATAAGTGCTGCACACAAACACACACATGTATACATATAAGCCCGCATATGTAGGTGGGTTTTGGTGGGAGGTTGCCATAGGATTTATGGATGTGATCATAAAAAAAGTGTCAAATTATTCACATATTTCTTTCTTTTACAAAAGTCAAGGGTTTTGGTAGTTTTCACATTACTTTCTTTGTCTATATTCAAGTTGGGAGATAAGTTTCTTTGACTAAAACATTAATTTTACATTCCCTTTTTAAAATCTTGTGTTGGTTGATACACAAGCACTTTTATTTACATCAAATCTAAGGGTGTAAATGAATCAACCCAACAATAAAGTGGTAACTTGCTCAAACTTGATTTTAAATTTGAATGAAGCTCGACTCATTAATATTATGAACCGCCCTTGAATGTGCCTTACAAAGCCAGTTGAGAGTTGAGTTCGAATCGCTTGATTTTCTATATAACCATTAGACACACAATTGAGCCGAGTACAAAAAAAATAACAAGCCTAAAATGTACTCAAGCTTGGTTTATCACACGAGTCGGTCTCAAAATAACTCTTAATAAGCCAATTCGAATCAAGCTCAAGTGAATGTGTTCGTTTCTACCCGCCTAGTCAAATACTGTTACAATCAACCACAATAAATTTAGATAGATACCCTTTCATTTCAACATCTATTGCACTTCAACATTACAATTAGTTAAGAGAATAAACTCCTATACCAGATTTTCTTAATTCCTTTTGTTGTAGATTGCTAACAGTGAATCCAAGCAACATCCATTACATGCAGCTGGATCCCTTACTAAATTGGAGGATTAAATTGAAATAGTTCAAAATTCATATCCTAAACTATAAATTGAGTTAACCTACATAGGTTGGTTCAGTGATCGAACAAGGGACAAAAAGTAAACTCGTATTTCGTAAGTTCAAGTCTTTCTAATAGAATAAAATTAAAATTCAACAGATAAACATAATTTATAAGCATATGAGCAAATCTTCACGCAGATGGATAGCACCACTCACTCTGTCAAGAGAACTAAAATAAAAGTCGTACTCTCTTCTTACAGCTTTGCCGGTCGCCCTTTAGTGGTATAGTAGGATAAAAAACAAAGCCGTCTTCGGCCACTCGCTTAGTAAATTCCACTTCGACTTTTTCCCAACAACTTTCATTCAAACGTTGAAGTATTGGGTTCGATCTAGATTCGTGGCCCAACCAATGCTGTCAATGTTATTTTTGTTATAGAAAATATCAGATAAAGCGAAATAGAGGGTTGCATTCAGAATTTTTGCAGTAGACCACCAACCATGGCCATTCCATTTGTCCATGGCTGTTGCACAACGTTGTCCCAAACTTCACTCACCATTCCAGCAATGTGTTGAGGTAGCAAATCTGCTGAAATTTAATCAACTAATTATTGCCTTGCAACTGCAGGATATGGGTTAGCCCATTCCAAAAAAAATCTAATAAATAGTTGTTTTATGCCATTGGCTGATTTGAAAAATGATTCGTCAAGGCTCTGGTGCTCCTGGTGGAGTTCCCAAAGGTGGTAACAGGCCTCTGTAGCACTCCAAGGTTGGAATTGATGAGAGATTCTACTAAAGGGATCTATCACCCAATGGTCATGAGTCTGTTATGTGGCAATTGGGTCAGACATAAGAGGTTTACTAACTTAGGAGTGCAGTGCAGTCCATTGAATAATCGCTCGAGTTTGGTTGTGCCCAATAGTCGTTTCAACCATACACCTTTTAAATTCATGGTTGTAATGTATATGTCTGGCACATGCAATCACATGAAAATCACTTATCCCTTGAACCCAGATTTTATGTGACAAGGGAGCTTAAACTTCAGATGTATGAGTTTACATCTTGTCCAGCCACTTAATCAACTTGTACGGGTCGCGAAAAAAACTATATGCAATAATATTCTATGGTGTATATTTTATATCTTATGTATCATTGAGCAGCTTTGTTTCAGAGAAATCACAAACTGGGGAATTCATTTCTTCAACTAGGTGAAAGAAGGGTGGCAATTATAAAATCACAATACCATTGGTGGGAATAAATTTGACTAAGCTTTTCTATACTCAAAATGAATTTAATATATTTGTATGGATAAGTTTGTTGCAATACACTTGGAAATGGATTCTCTTTACAACCCAATGAACAACCCCACTTAACATGAAATATAATTCTCTTACACAATAATGAAAAAAATCAATCACAGAAAACAAAAGGAAAGGCCACGAGGTAAACAAAGAGAAAACTTAGAACAAGGAGAAATACACTACTTTGTAAACAGCTGCCTGCATTGCTTACTTGGCTTGGCTCGCGAACCAGCTGCCCCACCAATCACAATCTCATCGACTAAATCTTTAAAGATCGAGCGCTCAACATCCAACACCAACCATGAAATCTCGCCATGGACATCCGTCCAACTCTCTGATCTAAGCATCACATCCTCCCACAAGATGCTTTTCAAACTATCATCCTCTTCCTCCAAGCTGCGTTCTGTTTTCTTAGCTTGAAGCTGTTCAATCTCCAAACACAATTCTCTCAGAAGCTTTTTTGCATTCGGGTTCTTCCTAGCTAGTTTACCAGGGCTTAACAATGGGTCAGGAGGTCCGACTAAAGCCAACTTTCTTACGAGGATCTCGTTAACAGCGTCAAAAATGATCTTCCGATGAATTCTTTCGTCGTCAGGTTTGGATTGGACTTCCTTTTCTGTGACATATTCCTTCTTTGGTAAAGTGCTTGCCTTGGTTTGTTCCAACACCAAAAATAACTCAGGGTTTATTGGGTGGCCTGACCGGTGGAACTGGACATTTGTCAGGTCTGAGCCGAGGTCTCTGAGGAGGAGACCTGAAGCTAATAGTATCTCAGAAATGTATCTGTGGTCTGGATCTGTATTCTCACAGAGTGATGCAATGTAATCTGTTCGGGCTTCATCATGGCTAGAGTTCAGTCTTCTAAGCTTCTGAACCAAATGCTCAATGTTCTGTAATTTCTTGCGACTAATCTCAGATGTTAGACTAGATCCCAAGGTGTCAAATATGAGACCATCTGATGGCTTCAGTTGCTCCTTCGTAGACTGGTCATCAGAATTTTGAGTTCCGTTATCTGTCAAACAAGTAGTGAGTGAGATTCGATGAGACAAACCATTGGGTTTCAGAAGAGGAAATAATGATCATGAGGGAAACCTAAATATTAATGCAGCATTTATAGAACGTAATTAGTAACCAAAGGCTATTTCTAGGTCAAATTATGTCAGAATTCACAATGGCATGCTTGCTGCTGACAAGCACTTGGAATATAGCATGACAATGCCGATTGAATTCTCATCAGCTTCGTCTCAATTTTTCTCCTTTCGTAAAACTTCTCCAAGAGTTTCCCTCCAACTTAATGGTATGAAGCATTAAGTACTACTCTTCTACTTGTTAAGCCTTTCAGAGAGTTTCCATCTCACTTTCAATGTGTTACAGACAACGAACATTTTTTTTTGTGGACAGATAATCACATTGTGAACCTATATGCGTGACAAATCTAAATGCATGCCCATGTGTTCAATAGTGCAGGATAGCCGTGATTTAATCATGCTATTGCACATACATCCCACGGCTGTAGATTAACCTAAAGTACCCAGCTGCAATAGCGAAGATCTGTGCTTGGCCTCAGTAAAATCCCAGAACAGGCCAAACATTTATGCCCTTTCAACCTATCCTTAATGTCAGACAGTCTGTTACTCAATATTTGATTCATCCAGCTTTTTCATGAAATCCAAGTGCAAAAAATTTTCAGAAGGGAAAAGCATTACCTTTGGGGGGCATTTGTGGCTCTTTCAAGGGTGATAGCGCATCATCTATACAGACCGGATTATCCAGAACAGAGACGGGGCTGGGATAATCAGGGCCAACTGTAGTCAGATACAGCAATGACTCATCACCTAGCATCGGAGTTGGCTTCTGAAACAAAAACACTAAAATGGTCACCCGATTGATTAGATTAATTATACAAATGTCTAAGGAAAGGAACCTACCTTTTGTACCATGCAAGGGATAGAATACTCTACAGCTTTTGTGGATGGGCTCTGACTGCCATTGATCTCAGCAGATCTGTTGAAACTGGTGACTTCTACCTTTAAGTCTGGGACAATATTGCCATCGGATAGCAGTGTAATGTCATGATCTTGGTAATTCACATTCCTCATTTCATTACAGATCTCACTTAATTGGCCGTCGCTTTGCTGAAAGTTCGAAGATTTTGGCCTGCTCCTACCGGAACTTGATTCGTGTTGCTGCCTGTTTGTCTGCCTTCTTGACTTGTTAGAATCAGAGGGAGGCGTGGGTGGGCGAGATTGCCTCTCCAAGTCGAGTTTCTTCTGTTGCATCCTTGGGCTGATGGATCCAGAGCTCTTTATAGAACCTGTGGCCCTTTCTTTTGGCAACGGTTGGGGCCTTGTTGAAGTTTGTGCAGACTTTACAGGTCTGCTGCTGGTTTTTATGTCGATGGAATTGAAAGTATGGACTCTGCGGCTATTTTTAGGAGTTTCACCTTTGCTCATCCTGCTATTAGTTGAAACTTTTCTGTCATTGACATCTCCACTCTGAAGTCTAGGGATGCTGGATGAGCCTTCAAGTGGAATTGCTGAAGAAGCATGAGTACCGGATTTTTCAGCAAGTTTTGCTGGTTTCATGATCACAATTGGGGATTCAAAAGCCCTCAAGGAATTGGGTCCCCTCTTTGTGAAAGTAAAGGCATTATCACTTTGTGGCCTTCGTTGGCTTATTGATACTGCATTCTGGAAGGGACTTGTATATTTCAGGTCATGGTCTTTTTGAGTTGAGAAGTTTGAATCTTGTCCTCCTTTTCTGGTATCCAGGAGTCCCTTTGCCTGCATTGCTTCAAGTATCTGTTTAAGAGCTCTGAGATCCTTGCCAGATTGTGTGAATTCAAGATCTTTTAATCTATTCTCAATCTCACTGTAAACAGAAGGGAAAGGGTTAGGTGCCCTTGCTGGAGCTTTCAGATGTCTGGAAGCTGGCTTTGGAGGACCCCGAGTCCCATCAAGCTGCCTCCATGGTGCTGGTTCAATTGGGAATCTTGACATGGGTTTCAGGACAGAATCAGGATTTTTCCAACGAGGAGAAGTTGGTTCCTTCCACAGGTTCTTCGAGGAAGCAGATATTTGGATTGGTCTGCACGGATCACTTGTTTTTGAAGACATTGGGTAGTGATCAGAATGCTCCAATGGGCAAGTTTTTGTTGAACCAATCTTACTGTCGGTGGTTGAGGCAGACTCTGGCAGTGCTGCCAAGCCCATTAACTTTGCTACAACACTGGGAGGTCGTGCCTGAGTTCCTGATGTTTGCTGTGAACTTGGAACCTTGCCACTAGAATTGCCTTCCTCTGAATTTCTCGAAAGAAAGCTAGATTTTGATTCCGAATTACAACTCCTCATTGAATTCTGTCTACTGTCCAAAGAAAGTCTTGGTAGCTCTTTAAGCTTTAGAGTAGATTTGTATCCGTCCCGTGATTCAAAAGATGAACAATTCGATTCCCTCCCATCATAAGAGAACCGAGGAGCATCCTTTGGAACTGAAAACAAAGATCCATCTTTTGAACCATAAGATGATGATCTAGAAAGTCCCTTAGCTTCATTGAAATACCAAGGTGCCTCTCGCAGTTTAGCAAGAACTCTGACGGACTCCTTGAGATCAGCAGGCATATTTTGCTTCCCATTAAGGCCCAATTTGTGAGATTTATCATTGGATTTGGTCAGCTGCGGAGGCCTTGGGGAGTCTCTTTGCTTCACCACACGGTCTGTTGCTTTCTCTTTGGTTGTAGTTTTTACACACAATCCCTGCACGTCTCTATACATAGCATCCCTGACCACATCCCGAAGATCTAGGGTTTGCCGCCCAAACTGTGGGGATCTGCTTGATTGGCCCATTACGGGGTCCCTTGAAGGAGTTTCAGGAAAAATGATTCGGTCGAAGGACGAGGGTTCTGGTTGAGTTGTTTTGTTGCAATCAAGAGAAGAGAAGGAAGATGAACGAGAGGACGACGAGAAAGAGGCTCTGGATGATTCTGTGGAGACTCTATGTCTCTCTTGAACATTCTTGTTTGTATGTTTTTCCTGCAATACAATTTCTATACATTAATATCTTCATACATAATAGCAGCACCAAACTAACACTGGTGAATTCAAGAGACAATTGAAAGCTCAGTAATGATTGAGAGCTAAAAACAGTTGAGGTTTAAATAATTGGAAAGGCATCAACCTATATCTCAGGATTAACTCATATGGTAAAAATTAAATAACAAACTTGTGTATCAATGAAAAAATGCATGTTAGACAGATATATGATGCATAACCATGCTGTAAACATTTAGCAATTTTGGCATCCTTGGAATAACATAAGAGACATGAGATTGTGTTGTGGTTGTTGATGAAATATAATGTCAAAACTCAAAACTCAATCTAAAAGAAACTTACTCCAAGTATTGACAACAGTGGATGAAGATATAATTAGGATCCCCAAATGGAACAACTTGTAATAAACAGTTCTTACCAATCCAGCAGATCGGCGATATAGATAATTGGACTCTGTGTCAAGATTGGCATTATTGAAGTGGGAACTACCTGCAGCAAATTGAGTAAAATTTGATGGTCAGATAATGATATAAAAAAGCGTTCATTAAACAAAGATGTAAACCACATAAGGTGACTGAAAAAAAAAATCCGCAAAAAAAAAAAAGGAGACTATTAAATATAATTCAATATCCAAGAAGAAAAAAGCACAAATGAGAAATCGTTAAGAATCAAGTTGGAACCAATTTGTCTTTTTTATAAAAATCCACACTTCCTGACAACAAAAAAAATGAAAATCTATCCTCATATATCAACTCATAAGTAAAGAAGAACTTTGAATCGCAAAAAAGGCAATGTTACTGCTACACATGAATTTTCTGTGAAGGATAGGTGGCAAATTTGATCACTGGGAAAGCATTCATAAGTTGAGAAAATTTTCATCAGAAATTACGTGCTAACAAACCTTGAGCTAACCTGTGGATGAAAATAATGAAATAAACAGATACCACTGAAACAATTTTAAAGCATTGACACAAGTCCAATCACAAACTGAAAGGAAAAATTAGGCAACAGATCTCTAACTAAGCAAATTGAAGAACACCCATCTTTACAATAACTTATGGTAAAACTTCTTAAGCAATAAGGATATATTCAATTAGAGGATTACCAGGAGGGAATCTCTTGGGGTTGTAGCCAGCGATGTGCCTACCTGTGACAATCTGGTGACGATCAAAGAGCTGAAAGATCCCAGTCATGCATCCTATTTGTTTTTGCAAATCTGGGTGATCATCTGTCAGTGACTGTAAAAGCTTTGCAGCCATATTTACCACCCTCGGTACCTACACAGTTGAATACTCCCACTTTCTAAATGTCAATCATCCTTCGCCAAAGTACTGACACATTCATACCCATCTCCATTGGATCCAGATCCAAGGCTCTTTAACAATGCTCAAACCAGTTGCTTATAGCCATTTTATCTCCTTTCTTCACCTACACAATTGAACTACTCTCAAATCTCAACCACCATTACCAAAACAGTGAGTTACAGCCTCACTGTGAATCCATGGTTTTGAAGACCATAAGGAACTTATCCCCTCTAAAACCAAATTCCAGTTTAAGGGTTGGCAATGCCAGAAATCAAACCCTACTCCTTCTGCTTTGTTCTTTCTCCAACATCCCTATAACCAGAAAATTATAGCACCTTACATATCCAAGTAATATCACTTTAAGCATTTCCAATGAAATTAATCAGTATAAAGTCAAATTACCCTCCACTTGTACATATACATATCACAAAACTCCAGAACTTTTTCTGTGATCCACTTATTTCCAGCAAATTACAGTTGAAGACAAAATAGTCAACATCTCAACACCCACTACACTAGAACTTCATATTTGCATTAAAACCCCAAATCCACAAAAACTATTATGTCTCCTGGGTTGTCTGTTTTTTATTCAGCAATCAGGAGAAAAAGCAAGAAGAATAGAAGATACCCAGAAACAAAATCAAACCTTTTTCAGTGTATCGAAGCCATGCTTTCGCAGAAAGAACCAGAAAATGCCTTCTTTGAAGGCCTATGAAGACCAAAAGAACAGAGGGGACCCAATACCCATTTGCGATTTCCCACCAAAATGAAGATTTATCAGCAACATTGCCTTCAACAGCCTTAAAAACTACCACCAATTCATAATCTGTTAAGGGGAATCACTCCAGATCAAAGAAGAGATGTTTTAGTGTTGTTTCTTCATAGAAGAATAAAGACAGACAGCCCAGAAGGGGTACAAGAAGGGCATTTGTGTGTAGAATAATGTGACGAGAGTAATCGTTGGCACGATAAATTAAATTTTAGTAAGTTCAGAGAGGGAGAGGAGTGGGTGGGTCAGATGTCCATGTCCTGCAGGCCTTTTTTGCTCACTCTTGCATGTGGGATGAGCATATGGGATGGGTATATACAACAGTCTGCATGAACATGTGACAATGTCGGAAAGAAAGATTATTAGAGGAAGACACTTAAAAGCTCTTGAATCTTGATGGTTTTTAACACTATTGCATTTGATAATACTTAACTTTAATGTGATTGTGTTTTTGATTGCGGATCATGTTCGATTTGATTTAAATTTGTAAATATTAGGGTCGAACTCAAATTAAAATTAAGTTAAATTAATGATAAAAGTTTTAGAATTGACCTCTACAACTTAATAATTATTCTTTTTTTGGTTTGGTTAAAAACACCGAAAATTAGAGTAATTATAAAGGATCCCCATGTTTTAAGGTTCAAAAAGTCAACTCATCCCTGTTTATAACTCTCCATTAAATATGCTCTTTATAACCAAAACTGACCCACATTCCATTAGACAGTTAGATAGAAAAAAAATTTGTTTAGGCAATTAACATTTCTTAAAGTTTAAAGGCAAAAAATAAGAGATGTACATGAGGTAATTCTCTAGGGGTATACGGTTTTTGTATATTCAATACTTTATTATTGTAGAGTAATGGGTTTGTTATAGTTGTTAAGAAATTGCTCGGTCTTCGCCATAATAGAGTAATCAATGTTTGCATAACAGTTCATTTCTTCCTCTTTTAGATTACGTTAGATTCTATCATTGTACATAAAGAAGATCGACTAAATAACTGCAACCAAATAAAAGATCGCCTTGATTAGTAGTTACTTAAACATGACCCAATATTGAATGCCAACTTGCTCAAGTGGGGGACTAACTCGAAGCTGAAACATCAAAAAGAAGTACAAGAGTAGGTGAAATGACTCAAATCCATAGTTCTAAATCTTGGTCATGTCACAAATATCATTCCTACAATTCTCTCAAGCAGAAGCTAATGAAGATTTAGCCAAAGGTTTTTTCAGGTTGTTCACCAGCACTATATGTCTTGCTTGCAGATTTATCTCCTAATATCATTGTTAGTAATTGTTAATTCCCCAGTAGGATGTAGCAACTTTACCTTAGAGGTGGTTTTGGGATCTATTGTTCATCCTTGAAGAGATTTTATAAAGAAATGATTTGCGAAAATAATTGTGAGATAGGTTTTTTTAAATAACAGTGGACACTCCCAATTACGAGACGTTTGAATTCGTGGCGATTATATAATTTAGTGATGCACGCAATCACTCGTAAGCTACGATTATGCATTAATTTTTGAGAAGTTGTTCAATTTTAACTTTTTTTAGAATTTGCAAATAGGTGTGAGATATGAACTAGCACCCAGAAACACTTATGAGCTAGAATAAGCAAGTGAAATAAATTGTTGAACTAATTGTACAGCAAAGTTTAAAGGGCAATTACATGGTACCCAAGATTCATGAGACCAAGAAGTCCTAAATACTTTTGAAGCTTCTCAACTACCATCATTTAATAATTTCAAGACATATATTATTAAATACTTCATGACTAGCAGGACAAATGAAACACCAACCCTAATGGACATATTGATTGACATTTAGTTTCTTATAATAGTTTTTTAATAAAATAACCCGCACGATTAATTGAGTAACAAAACAATGGACGAATTATAGATTTGCACGTACTTAATTCGAGCCACCCTAAGCACATCAAGCTCAAATTTAACTAAAACAAATGATTTATAAATACTTATGTGTATCAGAAATTTACATTGCAGTTATGAATTGAAAAAACACATAGTCGGAATGATATGATCCTATATAATGCTCACATCTCATTCTTTAAGTTTGAGTGCATGGTATTTGGAATGCTGTTGACTATATATACCATGATAATTACACTGCATAAGATAGCCAAAAAACATATATATTTGACATGCTTGTCATTTATGATATCTCTTTCTATCTACCTGTCTTGATGAAGATGTTGATTTGAATGGTCTTCCAGGTGCCTCTGGGCCATATTATATTGTGATTATTGCTACTAGTTTAACATGTCATATTATATTGTGATTATTGCTACTAATTTTATTTCCTCTCTTATAATGAAATATATTAAATATCTCCCTAAGGATTATTTATTCAGATTTTTTAAATGTGCATGCCAGCTAATGAGGTTGAATATAGTACAATGAACAATTGATGTTTCATATATGGATTTAGTTATGAAATTGAAACGTTAAATTTTGGTATTGTACTTCTTATTTTTGTAACGTGACACGTAGAATTTTTTCTTGTTTCATTATTCGTTATATTTTAGTACTCTCGTGATGAATAATGACAAATAATTTTAATCAAGATCTACAATTGAAATCTATTCAATAGATGTTGAAAATGGTAAATTAAGAATGAGCTCGGCAGAGGAGCTCTGTGGCTCAAAGGAGGAGCTCCATAGCCCGGAAAGGCCAACCCTCAACTCCTTGCTCACTAGCTCACCAACGTCATACCTCCTTAGCTCCGCACGTTTTGACTAATTTAAACCAATTGAGATATCCAGTTGTAGGACACTTTTGATGTCGCGTCGTTTAAATAACAGTTAAAAATCTTTTAACAATCCAATCTTTTAGCTTTTTAAAAGACCGAGCTTGACACAATTGAGCTAAGTGAACTACTTCCAGTTAAATACTATCACTTTTAATCATTCGTTTTTGATTTTATTATCGGAGAGTCGAACACTAGAACCCTTCTTGTCCACGACTTCTCTTGCCGAAACTCCACCATTGGTAGGCAAGATATAATTCCAATCAACTATGTTAGTGGACAATTTTTGGTATCAACAAATATAATATTAAAAAATTAAGATTGAGTACCATATTCTTATCCATTGTCATATAAAGTAGACTTGTCTTTATCTTAATTTCACTGAGAATAAAGGGCATCCACATGGATAGCATAGGGAATGAATAAAAAATATAACTATCAAATCATGACAATGCCTATGAAATAGGTAGCATGTGCAGCTCCAGGCAAAGCATTTTGACATTTCTTCCTCAGTAACATTCATCAAGTATGTTACTACCTACTATTACTACATACTATTAGACATGTAATAACAAACCCTTCTATTAGTTATGAATAATTATATAGGCTCGTCTTTCTAAATTTTATAAAAAATTTAAAAATCGTCTCTTGAATTCTTTCGTGGATCTATCCATATTTGCACGAGTTACTAAACAGACTTAAGTCCTAATACATTATCATTTACAAATTCATAATGAATTTTCTTCACCAAAATATTCTACACTTTATTTGTATGTTTTTGCATGCATGATTATACAAATGTACATATGCATATCCATGTTGTATGTATGTATGACTGCTGAACAATCAGCATGTAATATATAATGCATTCATGGAGTGGATTCTTGTGTGTGCATGGGGTGTTACAAAGCATGCATTAAATTTAACCACAAAAAGCCATTGAATTAAATTTAACCACAAAAAGCAATTGAAAAAGGTGATGGTGATACATATGGAGAGACAGAGAGAAGGATAGGGCAATGGAGATGGATCACCACATGCAAAAAGTAAGTGAAGAAAACCACATGTGGTATGCCCAAACTCTATTAGGCAGTTCCAACTAATACATCCCAATCATATTAGCGCATGTTCCAAGGAACATTGCTCATCCTCTTTGTTTTGATTGCCACATGATGCCTTACTTTTTTTTCTTCTTCCAAAAACTCTTCCCCACCAAAAATCTTCATCTAAAGTGACCCATCATAGATGATTGTGAGATTAATATTCAACAAGGTGGGATCAAGATTTGAGAGCTTATTCAATCAATGTTAGGTAATCATGGTGTGTGGGAAAGAAAAGGTGGGGTTATACAATGCAAAGTTATGAAATCATGAGTTTGAAATAGACCTCTCTCCTATTTTATCGTTTTTTTTTTATGTTTTTTTTGGGTGGATCAAGAATAGATCCAAAAAGTTAATTTGGGGAAGAAAGAGGGGTTTTCAAATTTTTTTTGGTAAAAATCTAGGACGGACGAGTCTGTGTAATTTTGGTGGAATTATGTTACTAATCCTAGCTTAATTAGAGAGAATTGTTAATTGTTAAATTTGTGATAGGTAATCAATCATTGCATTGGATTGAAGGAAATCTTACTCCGCTTCATTTTAACAGAAAAGTTTATGGTACCGAAAAAAAAAAGGTATCGTACCTTCAGTTATCACTTTTTATGGTAAAGTTACAATTTTAAAAAGAGAAATTATAATTGTTCAAGAGAAGATTATGATCGATTACAAATACCCATGATTGATCATGAACTCTCGGTATTAATTTCAACATTTTATGATCAATCATGTCATTTAAATTTGTAACTTACACCTCAAAAAAATTACAACTTTACCTTAAAATGTTTTAATTTTCGATACGATACCACTGATGGTACCGTAGTGTTTTCCCATTTTAATAAGAACATATTACCATAGCCTAAAGTT